ATTATTCTCTGTGGCTGATTTAGCATGCACGTTTAGGAATGGGTCAAAATTCCTCCTCATCTGAATTTCTCTCCAGATTCTGGAGTTCTCAACACTTGGTCTTGCTTCTGAAGTGGAACGGATGCATCAAGTGTCGTCAATCGGTTCTCTGCATGTTTTTAGAATCAGATAAATACATCGTTTTGTGCAGCTTTCGGTTAATCCTGCCCCAGCCAACGCCCAGATAGGGACATATTAGTGCAATTCAGTTCAGGATCTGGGCCTCAGCCTTATTTGGTCCACAGCCCTCATATTAGCATAAAGCCACATTAAAATGCTGGTGGATTTTTGTGAGAACTTTTTTTTTTTTAATTGCAAACTGGTGCAAAAATGTGGCAAGCAAAACTTAAGACTTGAAACTGGAAATGGCAGTTTTCATCCACACATATTCCCAGCTGACACCCCTGTGATTGTGACAGGCATTTAGCATGAATACCTAGTGAATGGGAGGCAGGGAACAAACCATGACCATTCCAATTTTGTTTTTTGCATGTATCTAAAATCAGTTTCTTTACAGAGTACAGCAAGCCAGACATTGCATAGATCCATTTTTTTCCTTTAAAAAAAACCCCATGTTTCCCAGTGGAAACATCAGCATAGGTGACAAAGCACAATCACAACCAGTAAGTCAAACCTTCGTTACAGTACATTGAAAGAAAGGTGTCCATCTTAAAAGAGTAGGACAAAAGCAGGTTGTGGCTACGTAATATGGTAGTTCTTCTCTTCGAGCCCTGGGAAAAGGGATCGGGATCAGACTCAGAAGTGCCAAGTCTGAAAAGACTTTGGTGGAAAGCGGGTGAAAAACAACAACTCTCAAGTTTAAGCATTTGAGTTTTGAGACGGCGGCATTGTGTGGGATCCTCTGACAGGGCCGGGCAGATAATCTTTCCCCTTCTCTCACCCTTCTTCCATTGCAAAGTAAGTAACATGAAGCTATCAGGGCTGTATGTACAATATAAACAAAGGGCTTAACACTTGGGGAGGGAAGACAAAGACAGCTGCAAGAGCGGTCGGGGAGGAAAAAGTCATGGGAGGAGAATTTCATTCATCGCTTATCAGGAGGCAGAAACTTTGCAAGTCAGATTATTAGCCTGCTATCGGGAAGATATTTTTGGATCCAAAATTGTCGAGAGAGAAGTCTGTATAAATTCTAAACATATGAGCCCTGCAGTTTCAGGCTAGGGTCTCATCCTGTCCATCGTCCTGTTCTCACAGTGGCCAACCAGATGCTTACAGGAGACCTGTCCTCAACACAACATCGCTCTCACCTCCTGTGGTTTCTGACTGGTCTTCAGAGGCATAGCGCCTCTGACAGTGGAGAGAGCATCAGTATCAGTAAATATGGACTACCTATTCTTCCATGAATTTGTCTACTCCTCTTTTAAAGCCATACAGGTGGTGATCATCCCTGCCTCCCGCGAGAAAGCCACTTCCGAGCTGGAGAGGAGGTGGGGTTGCGGGCTTCACGCCCTCCCCGGGAATCCTGGGGGAATCCTCGGCCACGTCATCTCCCTTGCCAGCCAATCGGCTGGCCCGGGAGGCGTGGCCCGCGCTATTTAGGGCCGGCGCGGCCGAGGCTTTTCCTCTTTCGTCGCTCCAGCTGCTCCAGTTTCCCACCCTTTAGGTTTGGCTCTCTGACCTTGCTATGGACTTCGGTTGGTCACCGTCAAGGGGCCTGGTAGGGATTTTTTCCACTTGGCAAATTGGCACCAGACATATGGTTTTTCGCCTACCTCGTAGCAAACCGTCACAACTTTCTTGGCATTGGTGGTTAGGCATTGGTAGGGGTATTGTTATGTAGATGGGGGGGAGATAGCGCCATCACCTTCCACCAAATCGAAGGGTAGTCCGGTAAAGGATCCCGGGGGGCGTGGCCCTGTCCGAAGCCAATGGAGGTGTGGGTCTAAGGCACGCCCCCAAGCGGTGACCCCGGGGGAGCTCCTAGTTGACGTGCATCAGCAGGACTCCCCCTACTGGCGGTTAACCCTTCCCGGTCTTCAAGCAATTGGGCTGAAGCTGGATAGTCGATAGGACCAATGCCTAAGCCAATGCCGCTCAGTTCCTGTAACCAATAAAGTTGTGGCCAATTTTCGCCCATTAACCTAAAATGCTGGTGTCCTGTGTCTTTATTTCCGAGGGGAGGCGGGAACTTGCCACGCAATGAATTCCGTACCTTCTCTGTGTGTTGTGCGAAGAAGGATTTCCTGCTTTTTTAAAAACCCGGAAAAATATGGTTTTGTACATCATCAGGAGATCTGAGCTGGGGGATTTTAGTTGATTGATACAATCAACAGAGTTGTGTGATATTGTCTACTCTGGCTGGCAGCTGTTCTCCAGGGTCTCAAGCTGGAGGGCTTTCCCATCACCTGACACCTGATACTTTTACCTAGAAATGGTGTCCAGGATAGACTCCGGGTCTTCCCTCACATCCTACCAGGAACCGCTGACCGCCCCCCCCCTCAGGATGAAATCCCAAAGCATTTTCGTTTGCTTCCCCACATATGCAAAAGTAGCAGGTCAAAGGGAAAGGGCTCAGTCTAGCCTTCTCCTTGCCATGCCATATTATTATTATTTCCTTAATTGAGGAGTATTTCAATATACCACCCCCACCCCAGCAGTCAGAAGAAATGCAAGTCTCGACAAGTTGTGCTCCAAGATTTGGCAGATTGTGTAAATTAATTGATCCCAGTTAAAGCAAACTCAAGCAATCACCAACAAGAGAATACCCCACTCTTTTGGCAGTTTTTGTTTTTTTGGGGGGGAGCTAGAAGAATAGAGCATGCTTTCATTTTCTCCCCCCGTTTTGAATCCCCATTGAAACTGTGCTTGGCACAATTTCCCCTTGTTTTGAAATTGACCGTGGCCTTTGGCACCGTGAAATACAAGTCTCGTCATGCTCCCTTACTAAATATTGTGAGGAAGGGGGAAAGAAGAAGTTCCTTTACACTCGTCAGAAAACGGTACTCCTCACCATGAACTGATCTCTCTCTCATACACTCATGAGATCTCATGGGTGCTTATTTCACACATGCTGAAGAGCTGAAGTCAGCTCCTAGTTGGAAGGGGCTCTCTGGGAAATGTCTTTTGATTGGCCCTGTCCTCTGTCAGTGGGGCCTTTTCTTGCGAGGAATCCTATAAGGGAATTTCCCTTTAAAAAAAGAGAAACATTGACAGCTATGCAGTGGGGTCTCCTGATGGGCTTACTTAGCAGTGACAGTGGTCAACAGAAGTCCTTTGACCAGCACTAAGTAGTGTCTTGGAGATACCATTTTAATGCTTCACGATGTCTCAAGGCATTATGGGAAATTAAAATGGTGCCTCCAAGACCCAGTGGCCTGGTGTGGATGGAAAGCTGGGGATGGGGTTAAAGGGGAGGGGGAAGGGCAGCAGGAATTTAAAGGGGTCTCAGTAGCTGCATTACAATGCTGCAGTCTCAACTAAATCATATAAGACAGGGATGTCCAACTTCCAAGAGACTGCGATCTAGTTCCACTATAAAAAACTGGCAGTGATCTACCCAGAGTTGTTGAGCTTCTTTTGGGGGGGAGGGGTCAGGATCACACAATCGACCAGGATTGACCAGGGATGCTCCACGATCGACCGGTAGATTGCGATTAGCCTGTTGGACATCGCTGATATAAGACGCCCACCCAACCTTTGCTTTAAAACCTCCAAGGAAGGAGATTCTACCACCTCTTGTGGGAATCTGTTCCAGTGTTGAGCAGCTCTTACTGTCATAAAGCTCTTCCTGATGTTTAGTTGAAATCTCCTTGCTTGCAATTGGGTCAGGTCCTACCCTCCAGAGCATGGAAAACAGGCTTGCTCCATCTTCCATGTGACCGCCCTTGAGATATTTGAAGATGGCTATCACATCTCGTCTCCTCTCCTCTTTTCCAGGATAGGTAAAGGTAAAGGTACCCCTGCCCGTACGGGCCAGTCTTGACAGACTCTAGGGTTGTGCGCTCATCTCACTCTATATGCCAGGAGCCAGCGCTGTCCGCAGACACTTCCGGGTCACGTGGCCAGCATGACAAGCTGCATCTGGCGACCCAGCGCAGCACACGGAAACGCCATTTACCTTCCCGCTAGTAAGTGGTCCCTATTTATCTACTTGCACCTGGGGGTGCTTTCGAACTGCTAGGTTGGCAGGCGCTGGGACCGAGCAGCGGGAGCGCACCCCGCCACGGGGATTCGAACCGCCGACCTGACGATCGGCAAGTCCTAGGTGCTGAGGTTTTACCCACAGCACCACCCGCGTCCCTTCTTTTCCAGGATAAACATACCCAATTCCCTCAACTGTTCCTCATAAGGCTTGCTTTCCAGACAGCTTAAATCCCAGAGGAGGGGAAAGGCGTAAACGAATATGAGGAAAGAATTTGTCTCTGTCCTGCTTCTCACACCAGCAACAGCTGTACACGCAGTCCAGGCCTGAAAAAGAATTGGTTCTGGAGCCACACATTCACATCGGGGAGTGAACTCACAGGGGTACAGAAACAGTAAAATAGTTTCTGGTGGGAATGGGGTGCCAACTCCCAACCACTGTGTACACATTTAAAGCACATTGTTTCCTCCAAGAATCCTGGGAACTGTAGTTTGCCACTCTCAGAACTATAACTCCCAGCACCCTTAAAAAACAACAACTATTGCTCCCAGGATGCTTTGAGGAAAGTCATGGGCTTTAAATGTATGGTGCGTTTTTAGCATCAGTAGACAGCAAGTAGAAGGCCTTTCTTTTTAAGACAGAGCAAGTTCAGAGAGCTTCCTTTCCATGGGGAACTTCCTGGGGAGGGTTACAGTGCCTGGGAAACCACTAAAAATAAAAAAGGCGGATCCACCACAAATGCATCTTCCTCACTTAGTGACTCATGGCTAAATATATGAATGGCTTCCGTTAGAAATGATGTTTCGAGGTGTGGTGTTATGGAAATTCTGCCTGTCGTATTTGATCTATGGAGGGCCAATACATATCTGTGAGTCACCGTGATGTTGCAGCCCCCGAGTGATGAGCAGAAAACCCCCCAAAAAGGAAGAGGACCAAGAACGTTACCACAGAACTTCCTGCCTGAGGAGCAGCGACAAACTAGCCAAATTACATTTACACCAGAGAAGAGCTTGTACCAGCGTCCACACACGGCCCATGGGGGTGAACTCTGCTTGCCTCTTTAAGTGCTTTATACAGGAATGGTCTGAAGCTATGTTTAGCCCTTGACATAAATTAACACTGTGAGGTTGGTTGACGCCACAAAACATTGTGGCATGCTGAGGTTACGCTTAAAGTTGGTCTCTAAATGCAAGGCTGGGACACTTCGTAAAGTGAATGCTGCCCACTCGAGCCAAGCAGAACACATTCCAGTGCCTCACAGGTGCTGTCATCTTGGTTTAGAAAAATAAATAAATTTCAAAATGGCGGCGCTCCATTCCAAAATGGCAGCAGCCACATGTGAGAGACATCTGAAACTGGCTGTGGCCTTTCCAAAAATCCTGGCACCTCCATCTTCCACACTGGGAAAAAGGGTCCCAAACCCTGGTGATAGGCTTCAAGGTGGCAAGGCCAGTGCACAAGTTTTGCAGTGTGCTTTTGCTGTTCAGAAAATACTAAATTATATACCATTAAATTATTCTTCCCCGGAGGAGGGGGAAATGAAGAAAAATAATACCAATCATTTAACAGGAAAAGACGAATACATATTCTTTAGACACAGTGTCTTGGAAATGGTGTGAAAGTCACTTGTCATATCCTCCGTGCTATATGTCGTCTTGAGATTGATGTGGGTATTTGTTCTCTTGGACGTCGCAGTTGCCATTTTCAGAGGCGTCAGAGCTTCCCGGAACAGATTCAGGGGGAGGTGGTTTGTAGAGTGCGCAAGCAAGCAGGAAGAAGAAGGATCCAATCACCTGAAAGACACCAAGACTTTCATCTTATGTACTCTTTCCATAAGTCCTGGTTTTCTCAGCGGAGGGCAAAAATAAAGATCACTGTTGTCCCTTTTGATGGGTTCCCCAGCCTTGTGCCCTCCTGTTTTGGGGGAAAAAAACTCCCATCACCCCCTGATCCTAGGAGTATCAGAAGTTGCCAAGCACTGAGTTAGACCACTGGGGTGGTGTAGTGGTTAAGAGCAGTGGACTCGTAATCTGGTGAACCAGGTTCGCTTCCCCGCTCCTCCACATGCAGCTGCTGGGTGACCTTGGGCCAGTCACACTTCTCTGAAGTCTCTCAGCCCCACTCACTTCACAGAGTGTTTGTTGTGGGGGAGGAAGGGAAGGGAGAATGTTAGCTGCTTTGAGACTCCTTAGGGTAGTGATAAAGCAGGATATCAAATCCAAACTCTTCTTCTTTCTCATCATTATCTACAAAGATTGGTGTTGGCTCTCCAGGGTTTCAAGCAGGGGACATTGCCAGTCCTACCTGGAGATACCAGAGATGGGACCTTCTGCATGCAAAGCAGGAGCTTTATCCCCAAGCTATGGCCCTTCCCTATAGCTCTGGACATGCTGGCTGGTGCTGGTGCCAAGTTGGGGTCCATAAACACCTAGCACTCCTGGCTCCCTCCCTCCCAGTGCCAGAACTTTGAAGTTTGTGCCAGTCTTCCTAATGATCACCACTTCAAGAGGAAGGAAACCTCTGAGTGCACAGCCTGGGAGCAAAACCAAGGGAACACCTATGGCAGTGGTGGCGAACCTATGGCACGTGTGCCAGAGTGGGCACTTAGAGCTCACTTAAACCTGTTGCTTGCTCAGCCTCCAACCCGTCTGCACCCTCTTCCTCCTCTGGCCTATCTCCTGAACCCCACCACCATTCTCCTGGCTTGGAGCCTTCCCACTTGGATGCTTCCCTGGGAGCATTCCCTGGCTGTAGCCCCCCACCAATTCCTCCCTGTCTAGTCAGTCCCTGACACACCTGGGCTGTACCACTTCAGACTGCAAGTGAGTGTGATCCCATTTAGTTTTGCATGCGGAGCTAAGCCAATGTGGTGTAGTGGTTAAGAGCGGTGGACTCGTAATCTGGTGAACTGGGTTCGCTTCCCCGCTCCTCCACATGCAGCTGCTGGGTGACCTTGGGCTAGTCACACTTCTCTGAAGTCTCTCAGCCTCACCTCACAGAGTGTTTGTTGTGGGGGAGGAAGGGAAAGGAGAATGTTAGCCGCTTTGAGACTCCTTAGGGTAGTGATAAAGCGGGATATCAAATCCAAACTCTTCTTCTTCTTCTTCTAAATGAAGAATCATTTGGTCGTATGAACAGCAAGCAAAACCTGAATTAGTGCAACCCAGCCACACATGTGTGAGGACTCAGCCCTAGTTTTGGCACACAGCAGAGGTTCCCCTTGAACAGCAGAAACTGACTTATACCGAGTCAGACCACTGGTCCACGTAGCTCAATATTGTCTACACTGACTGGCAGAAGCTCACCAGGTTCTCAGACTGGAAACTCTCTGTTGAAGTTCACTAAATGGTGGAGACGAAAATAATTTAGGACTACCTTGTATATAACACCTGCGACCAGGGTGTATCGACTCATAGCAAAGTTCTGGTAGACATAGCACGATCCTTGTTCACCGCACTGGTTCTGCCAAAGGAGACACGACCTGTCAATCATCGAACCAAAAGCAATTGGTCCTGGAATACCACCTATGCAAAGACAGAAATGAGAGAGACGCCTGCTGTTGGATAAATCTCACATTAGCCATGCTCCACCCAAACCGATTCTAGCATATCTGGAAATGCTGGTACTGTGGACCTCTGCGGGAAGCCTTCTGTTGTGTTAGTTGGCGTTAAATTTGGTCTGAAAATCCTGCTTCAGTGATTAGATGGAAATAATCACCGGGGGAGACTTGGGAAAACAATACCTGCTTAGGTCATTTTATGATAACTTTTAAAAGGCCAGCTGCAAGACCAGTGTTTTATATATACACAAGCACACTCCCTTGAATAACAGCATGAATGTGTGTTTCTTGGGTGAATCAAAGTTCCCAGTCTGTTGGCACAGCACAAGGATCTCTCTCTGCTCCGCGCTTTAATTCTTCAGAATGCAACAGGGCTGGATCCAATGCTAGCCATACTCGAAGCAGAACCATTGAAATTAATGGACATGACATGACTAACGTGGGTCCAATCTTTTCAATAGTTGTACTCTGACGTGGGTGGCGCTGTGGGTTAAACCGCAGAGCCTAGGACTTGCCGATCAGAAGGTCGGTGGTTCGAATCCCCGTGACAGGGTGAGCTCCCATTGCTTGGTCCCTGCTCCTACCAACCTAGCAGTTCGAAAGCACGTCAAAGTGCAAGTAGATAAATAGGTACCACTCTGGTGGGAAGGTAAATGCCATTTCCGTGTGCTGCTCTGGTTTGCCAGAAGTGGCTTAGTCATGCTGGCCACATGACCCAGAAGCTGTAGGCCGGCTCCCTTGGCCAATAAAGCAAGAGGAGCGTCGCAACCCCAGAGTTGGTCATGACTGGACCTAATGGTCAGGGGCCCCTTTACCTTTACCTTTACTCTGAGCAGAACACAATGGACACATAATGAGTCAGACTCTAGGCCCAGCTAGTCCAATTTATGGAGATCTCTATGCCGTAGTCTTTTCAGAATGGGGAGGTGGCCCAATGCTAAGCATTGGGTCATAGGAACATCACTGCCACAACAAAAGTAAAAAGAGGAGAGTGTCATCAAAGAAATGCTTGGACTAAAGGTGTGCAGGTCTGCAGATGCTGACCATTTCTGTTCAAATACACACCATCCTACCTTCTCAGCTAACTTGTTTTTGTGGTGGTGGTTGTTTTTAAGAAGGAGACAGTTGTATATTAAAGGTCAATATGCCAATTGGTCCGGCATTTGTGGGTTGTTGTTGTTGTTTGCTTCTACAGACATAAAGAATGTCTTCATAGCCTGCATGATTTTATCTTGAGCAAGAGTTATGTCAATAAACATCATATGCGAGGAGTAGATTATTAGATCTTAGCTGTATACTGTACCAAGTGTCCGGACTACAATCCATTGGATCCCCAGAGCAAACGATCGCTGCCTGTCTGAAACACACCTAGGAAGCATAAGACAAGACATTTATAAATGACAGCGAGCAGGAACAACCCTTGAGCAACGCAGCAGCTCTGCTTCCCATAATACCATCAAATTGTGGGTCTCAGTAGTTAAGGGCACAGTGATCTGGTTCATGTTAAATATTAAAACACCTGATATATAATTTTGTAAAAAGATCCTGATGGCTCAAAGTCATGGCAGTTGTTTCTGCCTACCAGAAAAAAAGAGACACAGATATTCGGTCCAACACATGTTCCAAAATCCTGGGAGCTATGTGATTCTCATTATACAGAGCTCAAGCATGCCCATCTGGCTGCTAAGGGTCTCTGACATGGTTGCATATACAGTGGTACCTCGCAAGACGAATGCCTTGCAAGACAAAAAACTCGCTAGACGAAAGGGTTTTTTGTCTTTTGAGCTGCTTCGCAAGACGATTTTCCCTATGGGCTTGCTTCGCAAGACAGAAACGTCTTGCAAGTTTGTTTCCTTTTTCTTAACACCGTTAATACAGTTGTGACTTGACTTCGAGGAGCAACTCATAGCAAGCGGTGTGGTAGCCTTTTTTGAGGTTTTTGAAGACTTTGGTGATTTTTGAAGCTTTTCCAAAACTTTTCCGACACCGTGCTTCGCAAGACGAAAAAATCGCAAGACGAAAAAACTCGCGGAACGAATTTATTTCGTCTTGCGAGGCACCACTGTAGATGTGCAGCCAATATTAAACCAGACTGTTAAGTCAGGGGTGTGGCCCTCCTACTGTTGTTGAAGCCTTAACCCCAGTAGCTGCAGGCAGCATGGTCATGTCAGTTTGCATTTCTTATTACAGAACAGGTCCGTCTTTACCCGGGGGTGCAAGGGGTGCTGAGCACCCAGGTTCCAAATTCTGGGGGACGCCAAATGTATACCGGTCCCTCTTGATCTGCAGCAGTGAAAAGCCCCCCTCCGTCACTCTGTCATTCCGTAGTGTCAGATATTCCCGATGAGTCAGGAAACAAATTCTTTTCCGCTGCATCGTTGTTACAGGTGAGCGATCCCCCCCCCAAAAAAGCTCAACAACTTTGTCTTCCCCCCTCCCCCCAAAAAGCTAAGAAAAAGTTAATTTGGGGGCAGCTAAATTAAATTTGGGGGCGCTGGGGATCTTTGCACCCTGGCGGTACATATGCTAAAGACGGCCCTGTTACAGCAAGTATTGATCTGACGTGTAGAGATCTTTCCTATTCTACTTAATTCAAGAGGGTTCTGGAAGCTTCTCTGTGTGAAAGATGCAAGCAGAAGCTTCATGATGTTTGGGTTATTCTTTCAGAGAAGCTGAGTACAGCTGGCTTAAACTGTTACCTCTTTCAGTCAAGGTCATGCTGGCTATAAAAATAGGCTGGAAGGAGCCTGGGTTTCACTCACTTTCTCTTCCTATCTCTTTTCTCTCTGGTGTGGTCTTCTGTATGCTTAGTGTTAAGGTTTTAGACTTATTATAAGTTATTGTAAGTTTAAGTTAAGTCTGCTGCAACTGGATTTCCTATGGACAGTGCCAATCCTGAATGTATTGGATTTTTGACCATTATGCTCATTTGCCTTCAGTAGCAGTAAAGCTCTGCTGGATGAAATATTAATTGCCTCTGCTCTATTTTTTGGGAATTCTACAACGTGTTTAAGTTTTTGCTCTGCTAACTGTACATTGGAATCTGCTCTGGATCAATATGGAGTAGAATTTCAATGACAGGTCAGTGGTCAGGGATGATGGGAGTTGAGGTTCTGCTGGGATAAGCTCTGAAGAATGAGATCAGGTCCTTGCAGCTTACCGTAAAGTGGCCGTCAGAGCAGGAATGCTGCTCAGGAATGTGAAGAGGATCACCACAAACATGAAAAGCAGGAGGAGGTTCCTTCTCTCACATGAGGAGGTACACTTTCCTGCAGTCGCCAAGCCAGATGCAGCGGGAGCATCAAGTATACAGCTGCACTCGTGGTAAACCTTGTCAAGCACACAACAAGAGAAGGTCCCATTCAGAAGAAATCCACACGCTCTGCCAAAACATGCTACTTTCCCACATGCTGGGAAGCAAACAAAGATGCTTTTCATTTGCATATTGAGGTGGCACCACAACTTGGAGATAGAACCTGTGTTTTGCATGCAAAAGGTCCCAGGTTCAATCTTGGACATCTCTAGGTGGAACTTGAGAAGACCTCTGTCTGAAACCCCAGAGAGTCACTTCCAAACAGTACTGAGCAGCTTCCGACAACCTGGTGAGCTCCAGATGTTTTGGACTACAACTTTCATCAGACTAGTCCAAAAACATCTGGTGGTTACCAGGATGCTGGAAGCTATTATAGACAATGCTGAGATCGAGCAACCAATGAGGCACACACCTCATACATACCAGGATGGATTCTACACTTTGTGTTAATACAATTGAATAAAAATTACCTGCACACACACACACACACACACATTAGAAGGGGAAATTGTTTTAGAACCCCCCTCCCTCCCAGTTAATTTTAGCTCTGTCCACAGCTTGACTAAACTGTGATGAAGCAGGCTTCATGGCATCTACAAGTGTCAGCCGTCAGAGTATCCAACCCCCATTGGTAGATTGCCAGGAATGGATAAGACTAGGAGAGTTCTTACCAATGCTTTTTATTAAATATTCACAGAGAGGGGCATAGAAATGCAGCCTCTTGGAGTAATGGTGTTGCTCCGAGTGAAACCCCACCCCCTCCGTCTATCCCACTTCCTCATGAGTCATCACAACGGGTGCTGGAAAGGGCCTTTTGCCTTTGAGTTCTTTGCTCTCCTACTTTCAAGGACTGCTGTGTTCTGGGAGAGGGGGGTGTCTGGAATGCTTTATAAAGATACTGAGTCCATCAGCTGTCTCTCCCCTGGTGCTTCTTCCTCCTCCTCCTTCTCTCCCATTATTTCCCAGCTTTCCCCCTCATCTGCCTCTGAGCAGTGACCTCCCTCAAACCCCTGTTATAATTCTGAATTGTCTCCTTCTTCTCTGGAAGGGTCAGGCTGGGGAGGCTGTTAGAATATTCCGTTCCACCTTAAGAACAGACGTGTGGAATTGTTGTATGTCACATGTCTGTTTACACTCCAGCACAGCTTGCTGGGAACTTCTGTTTGTGTATAGCTTTTGCTTATGCTGCCTTGCTTTGGACACGAAAGGGATCAGACATGTTTTCCTTTTGTCCTGATGTATGGGTGGCACTGTGGGTTAAACCACAGAGCCTAGGACTTGCCAATCAGAAGGTCGGCGGTTTGAATCCCCGCGACGGGGTGAGCTCCCGTTGCTCAGTCCCTGCTCCTGCCAACCTAGCAGTTCGAAAGCATGTCAAAGTGCAAGTAGATAAATAGGTACCGCTCCGGCGGGAAGGTAAACGGCGCTTCCGTGCACTGCTCTGTTTTGCCAGAAGCGGCTTAGTCATGCTGGCCACATGACACGGAAGCTGTACACCGGCTCCCTCGGCCAATAAAGCGAGATGAGCGCCGCAACCCCAAAGTCGGCCACGACTGGACCTAATGGTCAGGGGTCCCTTTACCTTTACCTTTGCTGAATAAACTGCTTGTAAATCTGCTCACACATACTCTCCCAGCACTTCTGTTTGCCCGTTTTCTCTGCTGAGTTGTGTGCTCCAGCTTTTGAAGCTGTGAGTCGCAGATGCTGCACCAAGGACTGGAGATTGCCCGGCACACTGGCCGGTGGGCTGGAGCCAGCTGGGGGCCTGCCAATTGTCCCCGTTTCCTTGGTTGTATGCCACCATTCCTCCTCTGCCCAGACCCTGACAACAAGACAGAGCAGATCTTTTCCGTAGATCATACCTTTTTCCGCTGTCGTGGCTGGTTGAAACCTTCTTGCATCCTGCGTGGCAGGGGGAGTAATACATGATTCCATCATTTCCACACACGGGGCTGTACATCTCTCGCAGACAATCACACTCCACATTGCAAGGGGAGGACAGGTTGAGGTGGCCTTCGGGTAAGATGCTGGACAAAGCATAGAAGTTGCCAACACACACCACATTTAGCCTCTCGAAGTGTCCACAGATGGGCCACATTCATAAGGTACATTTAATGCATTACGACACCACTTTAGACAGCCATGGCTTCCCCAAAGGATTATGGGAGCTGCAGTTTGTTAAGGGTGCTGAGAGTTGTTAGGAGACTCCGCACAGAGCTACAATTTTCAGAGGGGTTTAACAACCAGTCCCTCTTCCCGGGGGAAGTTTCCCATAGTTTCTCTCTCTACCCTTCCATTTTAACTAGGCTGCAAGTGAGTGACTGGCCCGAGGTCACCCCGGGAGCTTCATGGCTGAGTGGGGATGTGAACCCTGGTCTCAATTTCATACATTAATAATCCTGAGTTCCCCCCTTTGCTGCATCCTCAGCATCAACAGCATCAGCAGAGTGACATGGCTTATCATGTCTCCTACCTTCTGTCATACATCTGTGTCACTCCAGCCATGGGCATGTTGGGGCAGTCGATGAAAAAGATGAAAATGGCCAGCAAGCTGGACATGGTGCAAAACAAACAGAACTTGATAATCCCCGAACAGCGCAGCTTAAATTTGTTCACGATGAATCCTCCGAGGAATGTGCCTCCTCCTCCGGCTGGAACCACGAGGTAGCCTTCCAAAAGGAGAAGAAATCGGCAAGATCACATATGTGGTTAAGGTGCTTCCCTTTATCTTTTGCAATCACACCCGTCTGAGAACACAGAGGAAGCTCTTGGCAGCAAAGACTAAGAATCCCTTTGTGATAGGACAGATCTCCCACTGATCTCGGACACAGACTGCAGCAACACTGGAAGGAATAACTAGTACCGTATTTTTCGCCCCATAGGGCGCACCGGCCCATAAGCCGCACCTAGTTTTTTTGGGGGGGGAAATAAAGGAAAAAAATATTTTCCTCCCCCCAAGGCGCGAGGCTGGGGCAGGGGAAGCCCAAGCTTCCCCCGACCCCAGCCCCCAGAACAGGCTGCTCTCCGCAAGCCCTCCTGCGGCTTGCGCAGAGCTACCCGAAGCTCCTGCGCAACTGCTCAGCGCGCAGGGGCTTCGGGATAAGAGGCAGCACTGTGCAAGCCAGGGGAGGGCTCCCGCGGCTTGCGCAGAGCTACCCGAAGCCCTGGCACAACTGCTCAGTGTGCTGGGGCTTTGGGATAAGAGGCAGCGCTGCGCAAGCCAGGGGAGGGCTCCCGCGGCTTGTGCGGAGCTACCCGAAGCCCCGGTGCGACTGCTCAGCGCGCCGGGGCTTTGGGATAAGAGGCAGCGCTGCGCAAGCCGGTGGAGCCCGGCGGGAACTCCCGCGGGCTCCCAAGGCTTGCGGATAGCTTCCTGAAGCCTGGAGAGCGAGAGGGGTCGGTATGCACCGACCCCTCTCACTCTCCACGCTTCAGCGAAAGCCTGCATTCGCCCCATAGGACACACACACATTTTCCCTTCATTTTTGGAGGGGAAAAAGTGCATCCTATAGGGCGAAAAATACGGTATCTGTTCAATGAAACAAATAGCCTCAGAAGGCTTGTGATGCAGTTGGGTCCCTCCATGCTGGTGGGGTATTTGTTTGTGGATGGGCAGACTCTGCAACTTGCATTTGATGCAATAATTGTGCATTAGTGGTGCATTTGCACTTGGCCACTGCAAAACCATTCTGCTTTATTAGTTGCTCTGCTTCTTCAATATTATCACATTTTTTGCAAGCTAGAAGGGCACTCTTTGCTACAGCACGTGAAATGAGTGTTTGGCAGATGGGACCCAGATCAGCAGGGAGCAAACAGGACATGATCCAATTGGGAAATGAAGCAGCGTCTCCAACCCCAGACTTTACTGAAAGCAGGATTGCATAAAACCAACTTGATGCCAGCTGGAACATACATCATTAGGAAAGCAAACGGAAAAGGCTCACCCTGCCCAGTATCTGGATGGGACACCAGCTAGGAACTACCATTTAAGCAGCTCTGAATACAATTACACAGCCATTTACTGTGTGGGGTGCCATTTTGGAGTTGGCTACCTGGTGACTGTAACCACTAGGGGAGCTGGTTGTGCAGCCTGGCACCAGGCTAGAGCCAATACCCTTTGGGTTGCCCTTCTGTTATCCCAGACCCAGAGCTGGAGGTGAGAAGCTTCCATGCTTATACTGTACTCCTCGTTTCTGGAGTAATTCTGTTCACCCAGGCAACCCTTCCTGAGCTGGCAGTGTTGTAGGGGCTTCTGGGTGGAGCGACCGCTTCCACTTTACAGAAAAGAAAGATAAAATCCATCAACACCCCTATGCCAAAAAGGGGGGACAGAAGAGGATGCAGGTTGGCATACAATTTGTGTAATAGAACCGATCTCTCCCCCCCCCCACAATATTTTATTCAAGTTGGCACCCCTACCAGTTCAGACAACACACTAAGCCAAACCTTGCCTTAGGCCAATGCCATGTTGAGTCACAAAACCGGGACACACATCTTCCCATCTGTACTCACGTGACCAGGGCAAGATAACAGCACCCAGAAGATGTGCTTTCTTCGGGGTGAGTTCTCAGTGCAAAATTGTGCGAGTTCACGGTGACCAAAATGGCTGCCGGGCTAGCGTGGGGGGAAACGGGGTATACCAGTTTTTTCTGGACACTTGTGGGGTATGCAACACAGTGCAGCAGCAAAAAGGACTGGCTAGCAGCAAAGTGGCTGCCAGTCTCTGTTCAGGGACACTTCCATTCATGCTGGTCTCACTGTACCAACTGTTTGGCTTAGCATGTTGTGTGAACCGGGCCATACACGCCCAGTCGCTTAAGAAGGTGTAAGCAACCTGCAATGGCCCCTAACCAATATTTCCTTACCGAACAAGGTTGCTGCTTCCGAGGCACTTAAGCTAAACTGGGATTCCAGAAACTTGGGGCCGAAGGTGGACATCCCAGCAATGAGTGTGGCTTCTGTTGCTCCAGCTAAGCAGAGGAAGATGAAGGTTGGGTTCTTCAGGAGCAGCAGCACTGACCTGCATTGATCCAAGAACAGAGGGAAACCAGCATGTTGAAACAAGCTCAATCTCAATCATCTGAACTCCCATTCAAGTGCCATGTTAATTGTAAATGCTTTGATTGGTAATTCTATGTGGTAGCCTGGTTTTCCCCAATTTCTTGTATACTTTACATATATGTATAACATTTTTGTCCCATTTTTCTTCCAAGAAGCCCATAGTCCCCCTCTCATCTTCACAGTATCATTGTGACGTAGGCTAGGCTGAAAGAGTGAGTTTCCATGGCCAAGCAGGGATCTGAAACTTGGTCCTCCCCAGTCATAGTCCAGCACTCCCAAACTTGCACCATGCTGCATCTCTAGGTAAAGGTAAAGGATCCCTGGATGGTTACGTCCAGTCAAAGGCGACTATGGGGTTGTGGTGCTCATCTTGCTTTCAGGCCGAGGGAGCTGGCATTTGTCTGCAAACAGCTTTCCGAGTCATGTGGCCAGCATGACTAAACTGCTTCTGGCACAACAGAACACTGTGACGGAAACCAGAGGGCACAGAAGTGCCATTTACCTCCCTGCTGCAGTGGTACCTATTTATCTACTTGCACTGGTGTGCTTTTGAATTGCTAGGTTAGCAGGAGCTGGGACAGAGCAACCAGAGCTCACCCCACTGCGGGCATTCGAACCACTGGCCTTCTGATCGGCAAGCCCAAGAGGCTCAGTGGTTTAGATCACAGCGCCACCCGTGTCCCTTCTATCCCTGTTAACTTACACCCGCTGGTTCATTTTGGCCCTCTGTGCAACATTTAACATTCTGCTAGGGAATCCCAGAGCCACTGACACAGATATGTGGAAATCCTGGTGCTGCACCATATGGTTCCTTCTTACCCTCCAGCTGTTGAATAAGAAACACTTTGAGGGGATTCTCTGCAAGAAGTTCTGGTGCAAGAAGACCAAAAGCAGAGGAGGAAGTATCTCAGCAGAGAGGTTGACTTGTGTTCCTTGCAATCTGCCAAAAGCCATCCATGCGTCTTGTAGCTGCATGCATGCAATTTTGGAGATGCAGTTGCATTTTGAAGTTTTGGAAAGCTGTATGGCAAGACTTGTAATTCGGCTATTCGTTTATCTTATTTACATCCTTATGTAGGTGTCACTTCATTATTTTGGACTTTTGCACAGTCGGGGCAGATAAAGAGTTTGTGTTTCTTTTTTAACAACTTGATGTGAGAATGTATGTGGAGAAAATGGAAGCTGGAACTTAAGTGGATTTACTGAGAATTAAATAGATGTCTCTGTTTCCATGGAAATTGTTTTCTGCATGAACTTGTGATTGGCATAAAGGTATATGGTTGTGTTTGCAACTGCCCCCACCCATTCTGACAGCTGGAATGTGGCCCCAACAGCTTTTAATCCAGGAAATGTGGCCCTTTATTCCCCTCCAAAAAAGGTTCCCCACCCCCAATTTAAAGAAAACTAGATGGGAAAACACAGAACACTGACATTAATACATGTGAAAATAAGCACCAAATAATTAAACAGTACCCAGGAACTGGACATATGAATAAGCCCTATGCAGGATGGGTGTCGAAAGATATTTTAGCATATATGACATGTGGCAATTATTTCTGTATTTTTCTCCAGACAGTGATTCCAGCTGTGAGCCTTTCTCCTGGGTACAGAAAAGGCCTTGGGGAACTAAGATGGTCCCAATTATCTATCCCTCTCTCGGATATGAAGAGCAACTAAATTCAACAGGATTTCTTCTGCACCAAGTTGAATCTCTATGTTATACAACTTTATGAAGTCCTTTGCCCCCTTTGCAATGAAATTGACAGCACAGTTGCAGCCCAGGGAAGACTTGTAGTTGTTGCTGCGTTCTCCCCCACAAGCGACCCTTGGAATGATTCATCACTCTTTCCCAATGCACTTCTGTGACATATATCCGAAGATATATGTACCCAATCTGATAGCAGAGTCCAAGCAGAAGATAGGCATTTGGGGTGTGGAATCTAAGCTACTTTATTACAGTGGTACCTCTAGTTACAAACTTGATTCGTTCCGGAGGTCTGTTCTTAACTTGAAACTGTTCTTAACTAGAGGCGTGCTTTCACTAATGGGGCCTCCTGCTGACGCTGCACTGCCGGCACACAATTTCTGTTCTCATCCTGAGGCAAAGTTCTCAACTTGAGGTAACTCTAATAGAGTTTGTAACCTGAAGCATTTGTAACTCGAGGTACCACTGTACATGGTACCTTGGGTTACAGATGATTCAGGTTACAGACGCTTCAGGTTACAGACTCCGCTAACCCAGAAATAGTCCCTCCAGTTAAGAACTTTGCTTCAGGATGAGAACAGAACTTAATTCGTTCTGGAGGTCCGTCCTTAACTTGAAACTGTTCTTAACCTGAGGTACCACTTTAGCTAATGGGGCCTCCTGCTGCCGCCACACCGCCACTGCATGATTTCTGTTCTCATCCTGAAGCAAAGTTCTTAACCCGAGGTACTATTTCTGGGTTAGTGGAGTCTGTAACCTGAAGCGTCTGTAAACTGAGGTACCACTGTATTCCTTTGGCTTCAATAGGATGCTTGGTTCAAACGTAATTTCAGTGAGGTGGAGAGAAGACAGGGGTGGCCACCGTGTGCCCAGGGGCACCACACTGGCCATGCCTAATGTAGAGCAATGCTTTGCATTCCTTCATAGTAGGACCAACACATAGGGTTGCCATATTCCCAAAAGTGAAAATCTGGACAAAGCTGTTGAGCTGTTTGCCCACTCCCTTTTTGGCCTTTTTTTTTTTTTGAATTTTTAAATGATATAATCATCATCATCATCCTCTTGCCAGTGTGAGTGTAGTGGTTAAGAGCGGTGGCCTCGTAATCTGGTGAACCGGGTTCGATTCCCCGCTCCTCCACATGCAGCTGCTGGGTGACCTTGGGCTAGTCACACTTCTCTGAAGTCTCTCAGCCCCACTCACTTCACAGAGTGTTTGTTGTTCATCATCATACATCTGGGTTTCCTCAGACATTTTGCTGATTTGCCAAAAAATCACCCGGACAAGATTTTCTGGCCAAATTTCTGGACGTGTCTGGGAAAAACTGGGCATATGGCAGCCCTACCAACCCATGGTCTGCAAAAATGGCATTGTTTTGAAACATGAAACAATTATTTGATTACAAACTTTAACTGTCTTGGGACACAACCCATACAATCCAGAACTTCAGAGGCATTCTAATTTTCATGGGAACAATTTGTAGAACTAGTTATGGTGAATGGGCTTTCACCAACCTGGGAGCCTCTAGATATTTTGGACTACAGCCCCCCATCAGCCCCAGCAGGCTAGGTCATAACTATTGCTTTCTTCCTATATAAATACACATGTAAGGCTGTCACCACGCAGCTCCCATTGGAGAATTTGTAGCATCTCATCAGAATTCTGCATTTGCATGAAGCCAGGGGTAGTTAGGGTTGGAGAACAACAAAGCAGAGGTGGCAGCCACTAGCTAATTTATAAAAATGCAACACTGACTCCCTTCTGTTTCATCTTCATCATCTTCAGTAAACACTAGATGCAGGAAAACGAAAGGAAAGATAGTGTCAAGTTTTCGGTTATCGGCTGAGAAACAGCTGAGAAGAGGCTGACCTTCTCTGATCCTTTTTGATGATGTTCTGTAACAACAACTGTTGAACTATCCTCTCTCCCCGGGTGTTTTCTCAGATAGGCATGTGGCTCAGGAACACAACAGTTAGTGAGAATGACATGTCTCTAACCAGCGAAATCCACAGAAAGCTAACCTTGTTCTTAAATGTTACTTTGAGAACAAGACTTGCTTGTACCAGATTTCATTCAATTTGTTGTGCTTTGTGGGGGACAGTGCTTTGCAATGTGTCCATTCTATATGAATTTAGGAAAAAGAAATTAGCAACACCAGAAATATGTCGATCAGAGGAGTGCATAAGAAAGTAAGAAGAGCCTGGTGGTCAGGCCCAGCTAGTTCAGCAAACTGCTCTCACGGTGGTCAAACAGTTGGAAACCAGGGAGCAGAAACTATTTCTGCAGGCTTTGGTATAAAGGTAAGGGTAAAGGGACCCCTGACCATTAGGACCAGTCGTGGCCGACTCTGGGGTTGCGGCGCTCATCTTGCTTTATTGGCTGAGGGAGCCGGCGTACAGCTTCGGGGTCATGTGGCCAGCATGAGTAAGCCGCGTCTGGCAAACCAGAGCAGCACACGGAAACGCCGTTTACCTGTCTCAGTAGTGCAATGGGGCCTTCCACACCCTCCCCTTCCTCCATGCACCCCCATGGCTCCCCCAAATCAACTCTGGAAAACCCCCAGAACATAGCACAGGGAGGGGGGCGAGAGGGGAGATCATCCCATCAGCCAAGCAGAAACGTTTGCACTGGCAGCACAATCACCTTAGTGCTATGTTGAATTCCACCCTGAGTTTGCTGTTTTCCTTTTCCTTCCCTGCCCCCTTTCCTTTTGTGCTGTGTCGTTTTTATTCTGAGGGAAGGCTCCCTGAAGCTAGAAGGCCTGTAAATCATGGGTGGATAAGCACTTGAAGATAAGCACCTGGAGTCAAAAGTAAAACAAACTCTTGAGTTCTCGGCTCCTATTTTGCATCTCTGTTGTTTGGGTCATATGCCGACCAGCATTTAAATGCTATTTCTGAATTTAATTTCCTTATAGAAGAACTGAGCCATAATCTTGGAAAGTGGCACCAAGTCAAGAATTTGACTCAATAACTAGGCTGAAATTTCTTCAGGATACTCTTTCTGCATAATACATACAAATTGCCTGGCAACCAACCCAGGTGGGCCGCACGCCAGAGGAGACTTATGGGTGCTTAAGCCCACCGGCATCCTTTATTATCCTCTATTATTATTTATTTCAGCAGGCCTACCAAGGCAAATACTGCTGTTGCCTATATTTTTACTTATTTTTATCTGCGTTTGAATGAGAATTATTTTACGCACATTTTAATATAGTTACTGCGAGTTTTAACTGTGTTTTACCTTCGATTTTATTATGCAAACCCAGTGTTGCTATTGAGGCTGGTGAGGCAAAAGCCAGTATTTCTGGCAGAAAATGTGACCATTTGGACAAGATGCACATCCATACCTATTTGTAAACACCCGGGTACGTGTGTGTCTGGGTATTGGGTAGGGATAACGGGTAAAGATAAAGGGACCCCTGACCATTAGGTCCAGTCGTGGCCGACTCTGGGGTTGCGGTGCTCATCTCGCTTTATTGGCCGAGGGAGCCGGCGTACAGCTTCCAGGTCATGTGGCCAGCATGACTAAGCTGCTTCTGGTGAACCAGAGCAGTGCATGGAAACACCATTTACCTTCCTGCTGGAGTGGTACCTATTGATCTACTTGCACTTCGGGCTTTCAAACTGCTAGGTTGACAGGAGCAGGGACTGAGCAACGGGAGCTCACCCTGTTGCGGGGATTCGAACCGCCAACCTTCAGATTGGCAAGCCAGTATTTCTGGCAGAAAATGTGCACCATTTGGACAAGATGCACATCCATACCTATTTGTAAACACCCAGGTACGTGTGTGTCTGGGTATTGGGTAGGGGTGACGGGTAAAGGGACCCCTGACCATTAGGTCCAGTTGCAGACGACTCTGGGTTGCGGCGCTCATCTTGCTTTATTGGCCGAGGGAGCCAGCGTATAGCTTCCAGGTCATGTGGCCAGCATGACTAAGCCGCTTCTGGCGAACCAGAGCAGCACACGGAAATGCTGTTTACCTTCCCGCCGGAGTGGTACCTATTTATCTACTTGCACTTTGACAAGCTTTTGAACTGCTAGGTTGGCAGGAGCAGGGAATGAGCAACAGGAGCTCACCCCGTCATGGGGATTTGAACTGCCAACCTTCTGATCGGCAAGTCCTAGGCTCTGTGGTTTAACCCACAGCGCCACCCGCATCCCACTAAAAGGCAGGGAGGCTAGGAGGAGGAGCCAAGTCAATGACAGGCAGTGGCAGAGCCAATGATAGGTGGAGCCAGAGCCAATGACAGGCAGAGCTAACTATGGTAATTCTGGTTCCATTTTTGCCCAAGGTGGGGGTCGAACCCATAACTCTGAGATGGAGAGTCTCCTGCTCTACCGACTGAGCTGTGATTAAGCAGTTTAGGCATCGTTCAAAATAAATGAATAATAAAACACATGAGGTGTGTAAGAACGCTTAGCATTGCATTGGAAATGTGGGTGTAAAGAACGTCATGTAGTAATGATTCTACCCTGATCACATGGGGATGGGGGAGAAATCTAGTCAACTAGGGTGGCCATGAATCCTACTTCACAGAGGACAGTCCTCTGAATGACTCAGGACCCAAACATCTAAAAGACCATCTCCTGCCTACAGACCCTCTTGGATGCTGAGATCTGTAGAAGAGACCATCTTGTTACTTTATAAGCTTGACTGCACTGTCTGGCATCACAGCTGTTCCATGCAAGGGGGGAGTTTCAATTGGGCCAGGATCTGTGCCCTTACACTAGTATGGACGTCGAATCACTTCACGTGTTGGCCAAAAGCACAGAGAGGGAGCCTGACTGGCTTGCAGAGCCTAGAGATCCCCCTCTTGCGTATTCTCCCAATGTCTGCTGCTGTAGCAGGGTTCATCTGAACTCCCCTGTGATGTCCAAGCACATACTACTACAGTGGTACCTCAGGTTAAGAACTTAATTCGTTCTGGAGGTCCGTTCTTAACCTGAAACTGTTCTTAACCTGAGGTACCACTTTAGCTAATGGGGCCTCCCGCTGCTGCCGCGCCACCGGAGCACGATTTCTGTTCTCATCCTGAAGCAAAGTTCTTAACCTGAGGTACTATTTCTGGGTTAGTGGAGTCCGTAACCTGAAGCGTATGTAACCTGAAGCATCTGTAACCCGAGGTACCACTGTATTCAGTGCCTCTCTTTAGCTCTGATGTCACTTAGCTTGGCCTGACTGGGGCTGATGGAAATTGTAGTTCAAAGCATCTGGAAAGGTTAGCAAAGGCTGCTCTAGTCAAAGCGATGCACTTTCAGGTCGACCAGTTCTCTAAACCATTCCCAGTGAAATCAGGAGGACTTGGTTTTATAGGTTGTGCCTACAAAATGCTATACTGCAATAATTATGAATCGCCATGTAAATAAATGTCTTTTGCTTAAGGCAGCCTTTCCTAACTTGGTGTTCTCTAGACTAGATGATATGGAAGATATCTCCCATCATGAGTATGGGAGGTGTACTTCAAAATATATGAAGACACCAGGTTGGCAAAGGATGTGTTAGCCAATAGAAACGGATTGTACTCAATGGGCAATAATGGCTAGTGTAAGGCAGTGGTGAATATGTCAATTTCGATTTCCCTCAGTTTTTCATTTTTCCAATCATAAGTTCAGTTTTCAACATTTCTACACCAGTTTGAAATTTTTCATATATATATATAAAAGGACCTCATAAAAATGTATATCATAGTATTTTTGTACAAATTTCTCCTAATACCCAGATTTTTGTATGCAATATTGTCTAATAGACACATTTGTTTTGGTAAAGCAACATTCCGTAATATAACACATTTTTTTGTATGTTATTTTCACACATATATGCATTTTTATTCACACTTTATTCTAGTATTTGCATTCTTGTTCAAATTAAGCGGAGAACAGTACTGAAAAGATTCTGAGAAGTGCGAATTTTGAAGGACGGTGTCAGTTTTGTTATGGAAAGTGCAAATTAGGAAGATTCACCTTTAATTGTGAAGTGAATCAAATTTATTCCCCAATCTGTAACATCCATTTCCCGTGGCGCAATGTGGCAGAACATTAACTTGTTTGTGGTTGAAGATCCAGGGGGAAGGAGCAAGGCTGTTGCAGAGTTTAAAGACAGTTAAGAAATAAATTGTTAAGAAAACACTCCCTCCCCCAATAAAATACACCGTTATCTGAGTACTAGATACTAGATACTGAGTACAGGTACTAGAAGTTCTCACCGTGGCAGGTCTTTAACCGTCTTCCCAAAGTCAGGATCTGAGGCGGTTTTGTGGCTGCCGTCTTTCAGCTGATGGGCCTCTGAAACTCTCATGACTATGTAGCGCTGAGAACCTGAAAACATACAAAATTCAGTGTGCACCTTGCAGCCGGGGGATTTGGCCAGACTGGGGGCTCGTCCCAATTCAGAAAAATCCTCCATGCAGTGTTCAAATGGCTGGGGGTTGTAGAGAGTGCCCTTTCCAAATATCAACCTGCTTGCCAGTTCTGACCTCTGATCTCCATGCCTTTTGAGCCTGTGTAGTGTCATTGGCTAGAATATGCATCTGGGACAGGGGAGAACAGCATTCAAATCCACACTTGCCCATGAATATCACTGAGAGGCCATGGGCTAGTCACTATCTCTCAGTGTTGCCTACCTCACAGTCAGGGAAGGGTCTCCTATGGAAATAATGAAGTTTAAGCTTCAGGGCTGCAGAAGCAATTTTAGTTCACATTGCTTAAAATTCTGGGGTCTAGCAGACCCAATTTGAGTGGCACGACCTGAATTCATTAATTTTTTGTTGCAAATATTTCCACAATCCCATACCCTCCAAGAATTCACTGATGAAAATAAGGACTTCCTATTCCACTATAATAATAATTTTATTATTTATACCCCACCCATCTGATTGGGTTGCCCCAGCCACTCTGAGTAACTTCCAACATATACAAAAACATAAGAAAACATTGAACTTTTTTTAGAAAAAACAAACCTTCCCTATACAGGGCTGCCTTCAGATGTCTTCTAAAAGTTGTATAGTTACTTATCTCCTTGGCTCGAGCGTCACATAACTCCATACCCTCCAAGATTTCTCTGATGGAAATAGAGATGTCCTACCATACCCTCCAACATTTTTCTGATGAAAGGAAGGACATCCTAAGGCAAAGCGGGACATTATGGGATCAGATCAGAAACCGGGATGGCTTCTGTGAATCTGGAATTGTCCCTGGAAAATAGGGACCATTGGAGGGTCTGCAATCTCAAAGTTTGGGAGTCAATAGCACAGATGTTGTAAAGGTGCGCTGATCTGTCATGGAACAACCCCACTGAAGCAGGTAACAGTGGTTACCCAGACCTCATTGTTGGTTGTTAAGAGGCCCCAGTGACAGTTCAAGCTTTGGGGTCACAAAAATGTAGGTCTGCCACTGCTCACAAGGTAGGATTGGGCCACAAGTCATCAGCTATCCATGGTGGCCCAACAGAGACCCAATCAATGTCCTGGTTTTGCTGCCTGCACAGGTGTGCCACCAACTCATGGAAGGCCATAGGCTTTCCCCCTTACACCAACCAGCAGTGGCAAAGGCTCTCTAGACAAAAGTATTTCCTAGCTCTGCTGGCGAATGTCAGGAACTGAACCCTGGGACCCTTTTACATGCAAATCATGTGCTCAGCAGCAAGATACCAACCCTCCCGTGTAGAGTTCAGTGCATGAAACATTATCCGCAACTCCAACAGACCAAGAGAAGGTCAATTGACACATCAGAAGGAGGTGAGCAGGGGGGAAATGGCATAAAAGGCAGCAGCAGACCTGATCCAGAGGCTGAGCGGAGAATTTCAGTGCCTTGTCTGCTCTGAGCTTGGCTATCCAAAAGTACCGCACAATGAAAAGGGAGGGTGAGGGAATCTTAGGACACCATGTGTGTGTCATCAAGCAAGTTGCAAAAAGCTCGTCAGCTTGTTTCAAAGTGATTTGGGACAAGGCCTGAGAGGGGAAGGAAGGCAACTGAGCAAAAGAGACGCCGGAGGAGGAAGATGCGGGGGAAGAGAATTTGCATTGCTTTCATTTCTCCCCCTCCACAGGCAAATATGCACAGCATGACCGAGGTTCAAATGATAACACACAGGGCATAACAATGGCAGATTAACAAAGGCACGCTGTTCTGCAAATTCTGTTTCCTTTCCCTATTCGTCTCCCAGGGCTCCAGGATTCAGTCGGTCCGCTGCCAGCTAGCTGGTACCTCCGTGCTAGGCCATGGTTTGGTGGAGCATAACGTACAAACAAGACCACTGGTTATTTTGTATTTTGATTAACAGAATGGTAAGCAGAATGAACTATTTCCCAAGCCTTATCATTTGTTATGCTGCCTATCTGTATTGTCCAGCCACATGCTGAAAGAGAATCTGACCACATTCTTAAGAACATCATGGGAAACTGCCTTATTCTGGGCCACTTTTTTGTCCATGAAGTTCAGTGTTGCCTACACTGGCTCTCTAAAGTTTCAGGCTGGGGACTTTCCCAGCCCTACCTGGAGATGCCATGGAACTGAACCTGGGATTTTCTGCATGCAAAGCAGGTGCACCAATGCTATGCTATGGCCTCTCCTGCTCCTTATCAGGACAGGAGGGGTACAGTATTAGTATCCCTGCCACTTGGCAGCCTTCCACTCTCTTGAGAAGGGCAAGGACTGCTGTGCTGCAAAATGAGTTTAGTTGGGACACTCTTGACCTACCTGGCAGGCGATGAGGGTACCCCAAGATGGGGATCGAGATCAAAAGGGATCCAGCCCCTGCACCCAGGAATCCAATCCACCAAGCTCCAACCCACAGAGTATTGTCCGGTGTAAGATCAATTCTGCAGGTAAAGGGCAGAGGAGGAAGGTTACTCGTTTATGAAAATTCTCTTCCCGTATTCTGACAAACTGACGTCAGCCAAGAACAAGCCAGGGATGATCTAGACAAAAAGCTTATGACGATGTCATAGTGCCCCTACTTCCCAGACAGGTGGAGACTTTTGAAGGCGAGGGAAGCATTTTGCAATGATTAGAAATGAATCTGAATTTGACTTGAGTTGGAATTTAGCAGGCTGGGCTCACGTCAAGGCTCAAAGGCCCACTCTGGGAGTCAAGATTAATAGATTGTAGGCTTAACTGCTTAAATTAATGTAAGATGAAAGTTTCTACGCAAGATCGAAATACCAAAACAGAGCGGGTGAGCAGAGTTTTTAATATCTGCCAATAGCTTTAGCAAAATTATCAGCACAGGTCAAACGGCCTCCCTTTCTTTTTAACCAAAATTATCTGTGCATTTGGCATATGCCCTTAATTCACAGGACCACTTAATTGCTTATTGCTGCAGTAATCACTCCGTGAGCAGTGCTTTGGCCAGAGATAAAAGCGCTCCTGAAAAATAGCAAGGTATTATCCTTCTGCCTTCCCAAAGGTGCCCTTGACCCCAGAGAGAACCCTTAAATCACCCTTATGTTGAACAAAAATTTTTGCATGGGACTTCCTTGTAGAAACAACCATGAACAGATAAACCTCCCAAAAGGAACCGTTTGGTCACCTAGACCATTATCGTCTAATGTTATGGTTGGTGGCTGTCCAGGGGGTGGCCAGAAGTTTTTTCCCCCCAGCCCTACCAGCGGGAAATCACATGTGACCTTCCACATCCAAGTCATCTGTTCTGCCATGCAAATATAGCCTCTCCTTTAGCATCTAGAGTACCACAGTTGTACTATGGTTAGGATGCCATAGTACCTGGAGTGTACCTGAATTGTGATGTTTTTGATCCTGGTTCACCTGATTATTCTGATGTCTCTCCAGCCCTGATGTTCTCCTGTTCTGCCACCTGGCTTACCCTATGCTCTGGATTCCTTTTTATCCCCAACTTCTAGTTACTGGTTCTAGGGTGCTGTCTCCAGCCCTGCCTGGTCCAAAGACTGAACCTGAGACTTTCTACATGGAATATAATAAGAGCATCAGGAGAACCTTGAAGAATCAGGCCAAAGACCCATCTAATCCAGCACTCTGTTGTCACACTGGCCAGCCAGAAGCCTCTGGGAAGCAACAACACCTTCTCCCCACTTGTGATTCTCAGTAACTAGGATTCAGAGGGATGTTGTCTCCAACAGTGGAGGTAGAACATAGCCAGCAGGGCTGGTAGCCATTGATAACCTCATCCTCTTTTGAAAGCCCTATACAGCCCAGGACCTTCATACCTATGGGATCGCCTCTCCTGGTATGTCCCATGGAGGACCTCATGGTCTTCAAACAAAAACATATTGGAGTTCCCGGGCCACAGGGAGGTTAGGCTGGCCTCAACCAGAGCCAGGGTTTTTTTGGCTGTGGCCCCGATCTGGTGGAACGCTTTGTCACAAGAGACCAGGGCCCTGTGGGACTTGACACCTTTCCGCAGGGCCTGCAAGACGGAGCTGTTCCACCAGGCCTTTGGCCAGGGCACAGCCTGACTCCCTCCCTCGGCAATCTTCGCGAGCTCTGGCCCAATGGTTGCCATTAATTTGATTCCGAATTGATTTTAGTATGAATTGATTTTAGAATGTACTTCAATTAATTCATTATGATTTTATGTAAACTGTGTTACTTTTACTGTTGTTAGCCGCTCTGAGCCAGGCTTCAGCTGGGGACGGCAGGATATAAATAAGAATTTATTTGTTTGTTTGTTTGTTTGTTTGTTTGTTTAAAGCTATGCCTGCTTCAATATGGTCCAAGTCATCAGAAGTGAATGGGCTAAAATTCTGAATGAATGTCGTTGGAGCTTCCTGTGACTGATGATAGAGGCCTTCACAGTTCTTATGCTCTTGCAGCGAGAAGCTAATATTTAATTAATAAAATAAATAAAATCAGCAGTTGAGGAAGAGCACAGCCATCGCCGCTATGGGGCTATCATCTACTGGAGCTAGGAAGTTGCAGCCAATTGAAGCTGATCATAGAATTGGAAGGTTCGAAATGACCACGAGGGTTATCTAGTCCAACCCCTTGCAGTGCAGGAAACTTTTGCCAAATGTGGGCTCAAACCCATGACTCTGAGATTAAGAATCTCATGATCTATCAGCTGAGCTAAGATGCATGACAGGACCTGCATGATACTTGGACTTACGTATAATGTGTGAAGTGATTTTCTGAAAATGCTGGAGTTGAGCTACATTTCATGTTTGAAGCCTGTTTTTGAGTTCAGCAGGATGAGAGCAGATCGCCTGTGTCTTTACTTTTAAAAAAACAAAAAAAACCTAGGTAAAAGGTTTAACAAGAATTTGCTGTGTCCAAGATAAAGAATGCTAAACTTACTGTCTTCCGATTTCGGTGTAAATGTTCAGAAAGATCCCTCCAACCAGATAGCCAGCTGCAGGACCCAATATGGCAGCAGTGTAGAAAATAGCTGAAAAAGAAAGATGTCAAGAGAGACACTTGAAAAAGTTCAAAGTTCAAAAAGTCAGTTCTGAATTCTAAAGTTTTGCTGAAGTTCAGATTTTTTTTTTTTTGGAGGGGGGAGGGAATTCATTGCAGATGTACCATCAGTTTCTCCAAGTTCCCAACATTCTCTCGCTATCACTGGGGAACAGATGTTCGTTCGCCCACATTAGTACTGCAAAGGGAAAGCTTAAGTGCTGTTCACTTATTAATTTTTGCCATAGGTGGGTCCAGAGATGGAGGAGAAATTTGATTCAGATTGCATTTAAAGGCGAATCTGTGTAATTCTCACTCTCTGAAACAGTACGAGAAATGAAACACAGCCATCCTTTGAAATTCAGACTGCTCCAACTTTGGCAGTTCTCCAACCAAGCAATGTATCCAAAAATGCATATCCTGTGTTAAAGTGTGAAAAATCACATAAAAATGTATTGTTTCAGAGGGAAATGCGAAAATTGCATACAAAGACGCACGTTTGGAGAATTTTGCACTCAAATGCTGATGAATTCTCATGAAGACTTGCTTTTTAAAAAATAAAATAAAATTGCAAACAGAAATTGAAATGTGGAGAACTGAATTTAAGACTTAATAATCCTCTGTGCAAATTGCACTGAGATGGTGGCTTAAAAGGCAATTATAAAATTAATGGTAGTATTAGTAGTAGAAATAATAATAATAGGACTGCAATTAATTCACTGTGCCTGAATAAATCTTAGGGCTTACCCCTTCTGTAGATGACAAGAGGAGGGATGTTTCTTGATTCCATTTTGTGGCTGATGAATGATACGCAGGCAGTCGCAGAGGGAGAACTCATTAACTCCTTTGCATTGCACAGCTCTTCAGCACTCAAGCTGGCTAATTGCTACACCTGTGACTAATGCTTCCTTTTGTGTGTACTATAATTCATTGAGATGGGGTGGGGAAGAGCATTGTGTGACAATGCTGCAAGGATCAGGCTTGCCTTGTGGAGCTAAGGATGTAGTCTGCTAGACAGCTGGTGCTCTTGCACAAGGAGGCAATATAAGGATAAATAATAACTAATATCTTATCCTACCCTCCAAATCTATCCAATGGGGCAGGTGTATGGGAAGAAGAAAGCAACACCAACATGCCCTCCATGACAGAGGAGGGCTGTACTGAGGAGGAATGGTGGGAGTCTCCCCCCCCCCTGCTCCTGAATCTTCCCAGGAGCAGGAGGACAGTATAGATTTGGAACAGTGGTTTGCAGAGGGGCACAGTTTCAGAAGGCAGTAGCTGAGAAATACTGGATGGGGAACAGCTAGGAGATGAAACACTGGGAGAGAGAGGGTTAACAGATCCACTGTCTCTGGAAAGCATTCATCCGCTCTCCCCAAGGTCAAGAAGAGTTGAGAAAGTGGCAGAAAAGAAAGGACACAAATCACAGAGGGGACAAGCTCAGATTATAAGACGTAGCAGTGACATGGATTCATAGGGACGTAAAAGGGTGGGATTCTTAATTGGGAGCACTGCCTTTTCTTGGAGATGGGTTCTTTGTTCTCTGGCTGTGATTATTAAAGTTTCTAACTGGTAAGAAGACTCCTTTCCCTTTGTTCTGCTTATCTACTGGCATGGAGGGAGGAAACCGATTCCCTGAAGCCTGACACTTACCAATATACACGGGGGAATAGTTGGACTTGACATTTTCATCCAAATAGGTCACTCCAAGAGTGTATAATGGCGTTGCTCCGATCCCGTGTAGGAACTGTCCGAGCATGAAGACAAACCGGTAGCTGGAGAGGCTGGAAACGCTTTCTGTGCACCCCACACTCAGATTGGAGGAGCACATGCCAATCTCCTCCGAGAAATGTACTTCGTATTGGCTGGTGGTGAACTGGGGCAGCGCAAAGATGACCGACCCAATGCCCATGATCAACACCCCCCAACCCAGCCACCGCGGTTTGTGCCCATTCCCCCCAAAGTAACTGACAAACGTCAAGCACACACAGGCAGCGATGTCGTAAGAGCTGGCGATCAGCCCACTCTCGTAGCTCCGGAGATCGAACCGCCGCTCTATGGAGGTGATGACCGTATTAATGAAGCCGTTCACGGTCATCCCCTGGAGGAAAGAAGCCACGCAGAGGAAGAACAAGACCCCCTTGGGCGTGTTGAAGAACTGTAAACAACTCGGTGTGAAGGCTCCCCATCCGCAAACCAGCACTTCTCCTTCTGAGGAGACGTATTTAATGCCTTTGCTGAACTGGCTCTTGTTTTCGGGTCCCTCGTCACAGAGGGGTTTAATGCAGGAGTCCGAAGGGCTGTTTGCGTTGGAGTATAAAGTGCCATTGCTCTCGGAAGTGTTGCAAGATTCCTTGGGACTGGTAGTATCAAAAGTAAGGCTGTTCTCCACTGGGTTGGACGGGCTGGAGAAAATGAGTTTCTGGGTAAAGTTGAAGCCATTTTCTCCTGCCAAGTTGTGAGGCATTGCCATCAAAGAGGAGCCAAGAGGTGTGTTGTGCTTTTTTTCTTTTTTTCCTCCCTTCCCCAGGCTGGCTTGTGTTCTTCTAACAGTGGGCGGAGGTCTCGGCTTTCAGAAGGGGCGAATTGGCAATAAGTGCACCGACGGGTATACAGGCAGTGCTGAGACCCTGAAACAACTTCATTCTGGAAAGAGATAATCAGATGGAATGAGGAGGTGCACTTTTTATTTTATCACATTACATTCTTATCCTGTTTTTCCTCCACGAAGCAACACTCCCAACCATGCATTTTATCTTTTTTAAAAATAATAATGATAATTAGTAAATTAAGATATATTGAAATAAACACATACAATATACAGTAAAAGTAATAAGCGTAACCAATACAAATGCATGTAGAAATAGAAATATTATAGAATTTAAATGTAGACACAATGGGGAGGAAAACCTAAAAGCAACTGAGAATCTGTACACAGTATGTGACTGTCCCAAGGTCACCTAGCGAGTGACCACCAACTTGGATTGCTGTAAAAAAAGAGCTACACAAATTCATAGAGGATAAGGCTGACAATGCCTACTAGCTATGTTGGCTATGCCCTGCCTCCTGGCTATATGCCTCTGAATGCCAGTTAGAGGAAACCATTGGTGGGGTTGTGCTGAGGTCCTGATCAATGGCTTCCCATGGACATCTGGTCAGCTATTGTGATTTTGTTGAGATTCGTACATTGCAGACGGTTAGACCATGTGACACGTGGGGTCTCTTCCAAATCTACAATTTTGTGATTCTATGTGCTTCTCACAGGTCAGGCCACGGTGTGGTTGCACTTTTAGCCCCAGACATTGCACCCACTTCCTGCAACAACAAATCTAACCAATCCAACTCAATGGTGCAGCGTTGGAAAGTGTCAATCACTTCTCCTACCTGGGCAGTTATCTTTCCACAAGGGCTGACACTGATGCCAAAATCCAGCATCACTTGAGCTCTGTGAGTGCAGGTTTCTCCTGACTGAAGTGCAGAGTGTTTGGGGACCGGGAAATTCACCAACCTTACTGTATGCTTGTGAAACATGGACCACTTAAAACCCCATCTCCAACTCCTCAAAAGATTCCATCAATGGTGTCTCCACAATTTTTTACACACCACTTGGGAAGACAGGCGAACAAATGCCAGTGTACTGAAAGAAGCAAAGATCACCAGTGTTGAAGCAATGATTCTTCAACATCAACTTCGTTGGACTAGTCATGTTGTGCAGATGCCTGATTATTGTCTTCCAAAGCAACTACTCTATTCCGAACTTAAAAATGGCAAGCATAATGCTGGTGGTCAACAAAAGAGGTTTAAAGACTCTCTCAAGGCAAATCTTTAAAAATGTAGCATAGAAACCGACAACTGGGAAACACTGGCCTGCGAGCGCTCCAATTGGAGAACAGCCTTTACCAAAGGTGTCATGGTCTTTGAAGATGCTTGAACTCAGGACGAAAAGAAGAAACACGCTAAGAGGAAGGCACGCTTGGAAAACCCTCACCATGATCAACTCTTGCCCAGAAACCTATGTCTCCACTGTGGAAGGACGTGTGGATCCAGAATTGGCCTCCACAGTCACTCATGGACTCACTGTTAAGACTGTGTTTGTGGAAGACAATCTTACTCAGCTACAAGTGATCATCAAAGAAGAAGAAGCACTTTTAGCACTTTTTAGCCACTTTCTGCAACAGCTGGGCACTGCACATGGTTTCTATGCAGACCATGGATGTTCTCACTGTGTGGAGCTCCTACACATGAGTAGGATCTGATTCACCAGGATTTCTTTATAGTCAACTGTGCACAGCACATGGTTGTGGTAGGAAGCAGATAGGATGTCACACATTACCGGCTGATGAAAAGTAGGGCTGTTATGCAACTAGTTCATATTTAGGATCATTTCATTAAGGATGTTTCTCTATTTCGCCTTTAAAATAGGTCAAGTTAATCCTATGGGGACACTTGTAATACAAGGACACTATCAGGAGAAGCAATACTTCCCCCGCAAAAAGGATAAGGATGAAAGAAACTCGGGGGGGGGGGGAGAGAAAACAACGTTTTAGAAGAGAAGCCCAGATGGAATTCATGAATTCCATGGATATGTTATTTTTGAAAAAAAGAGTGATAGATAATGGATCATTTTCCTGGGCTTTTAAGCTGTCTTCAGAATAGAAAAGGTTCCTTTTGTGGAGTGTTCTGATTGGCAATAAATAGGTTTACTCTCTGTCCCATCTCAAAGCTGCGGTCAGTGCAAGACTGGGGTGCAAATATATTTTGCAGTAATTTGCATGATTTTATTAAAATACTGCTTAAAAGTTTGCAGAAATGCCACACTTTCTAACTCATTAGGAACATAGGAAGCTGTCTTGCATTAGCCGGAGTAGACAACAGTGTGCTAAATGGTCCAATGGAATGACTTGGTAGAAGGCAGCTACCTCTGTTTCTGCACCGAGTCAGAACATCTGATTAGTCCATCTGGCCCAGGGTTGTCTACACTGAATGGCAACAGCTCTCCAGAGTTTCAGACAGAAGTCTCTCCCAAACCTACCTGGAGATGAGAAAGACTGAACCTGGGACCTTCTCCCTACAAAGAAGGAATTCTAACATTGAGCCACAACTCTTCCCCTAAGATGCCTTTAGATGATGTTGCTTTCAGTCCACATATAAGCACAGACAGCAATACCCATGCAGTCCACGGAAATGGTTTGGGACGCACAATTTCCTTTGCAATGGAGATGGAAATGAGTGCCACCAGATAAACGGCCCCAGCCCTGTATACCTGAAGAAGCATCTCCATCTCCATTGTCCAGCCCAGTTACTGAGCTCCAGCTCTGAGGGCCTCCTGCCAGTTCCCTCGCTGTGATACGTAAAGCCACAAGGAACCAGACAGAGGGCCTTCTCTGTAGTGGCACCCACCCAGTGGGACACCCTCCCACCAGATGTCAAAGAGATAAGCAACAATTTGACTTTTAGAAGGCATCTGAAGGCAGATCTGTTCATGGGAGTTTTTAATTGTTGATTCTAGATTCAGGTAGGTAGCCGTGTTGGCCTGATGCAATAAAAATAAATAAATAAATAAAAATTTAAAAAATTGTCCAGTAGCACCTTAGAGACCAACTAAGTTTGTTCTGTGTATAAGCTTTCGTGTGTATGCACACTTCTTCTGTAACTATGATATTTAAGTTTCTGTTTCAAAATACTAGGTTGTCTTTGTCTAGCATCCTTGCCCACCACCATGTTAGTAAACTGCCCTGAAACCTGCAGGTATAGGGCAGTGTATCAATAATGATGGTGATGACACTGCTCTTGAAACATCTCTCAAGACTGAATTTAGTCTTTCAAAACACCTTGAAGAATTTCAAAAGGAGGCCAAACATAAGGTTTCTATTGCTGCAACCGTTGGGTTCTGCTAGCACAGCAGGATTTCAAATTACACTCTGTTAAGTTGTGGGTGGGCATATCAGACGACACAGTGATTCTTCAAACAGCTCTTGTTTATTCCCAGGCCAGAACAGAACTGAACTGAAGGGTTCAGTCAGCCTGCTTATATAGAGCTCCAGTACAACGTAACTGTAACTATTTTCTAAAACTATCCAATCACTTTCAATCCCTTATTTGCATAACTATCTACAGTATCCCTCTGCGGGCCCAGGGTGAGAACTTCAGTACATAACACACTCCTCCTCCTCCTCCTTCTTCACTATGTACCCCAAAATCAGCTCCAGAGGGTCTCCCAACCATTAGTAATTGACAGAAGGAGATCTCAACCCGGTCTGCTCCTGTACCTTTTAGCAGCAGCCTGATTCTGCAGAAATTAGCACATGAGGGTGTTCTTGGCATGGAAACAACACATCATCAATTGTTAACATCTCCAGATATCTGAAGAAGTGTGCATGCACACGAAAGCTCATACCAAGAACTAACTTAGTTGGTCTTTAAGGTGCTACTGGAAGGAATTATTTTTTTTTTGTTATCTCCAGATAAGACTGCTGTTAAAGGCACCGATGTAGTCTCCGATTTTTATTTTTATTTTAACTTGGTAACTAATTCTCACACAGCAACTTTACTCTCTTCCTTTCTTCAAACATTGTGAGAAGATTATAAGGGTTATGTGCATCAGGCAACCCATTAAAAGAGGGATAGCCACAATCTTTGGGCCTGTCGGCACACTTGGATTTTTGAGTGCGTGAGCACCGTTGCCTCTGATCACTTTTTTGCCCACACTGAGAGACAGAAAGTGTGTGCATATGCATACCACTTTCCCAAGAAAACTGGGTAAAAGTCAGATCCGGCACAATTAATCTGAGCCTTGAAAATAATATTATACTGAAAGAGGATGGTGGGGCAAAGAAAGAGAGCATCACTTTTCCAATTTCTTCATTTGGTTCTAGACATTTTTCAAAGATGAAAAGCTAACCACTATAACTGCCTCACTGTGCCACATTAGCAGTCCCTGCTTTAGACTTACCGTATTTTTTGCTCTATAAGACGCACTTTTTCCCTCCTAAAAAGTAAGGGGAAATGTGTTTGCGTCTTATGGAGCAAATGCAGGCTGCGCAGCTATCCCAGAAACCAGAACAGCAAGAGGGATCGCTGCGCAGCAATCCCTCTTGCTGTTCTGGCTTCTGGGATTCGGAATATTTTTTTTCCTTGTTTTCCTCCTCCAAGAACTAGGTGTGTCTTATGGTCCGGTGCGTCTTATGGAGTGAAAAATATGGTACATAGCAGCTTGAAGATGAGTGCAATGTGGGGGCAGAAACTGGCAACATTGAAAACCCAATAAATATTAATTTTAAAAAACCCACAACTTGTCCCCTAACCCCACTGGCCTTGGAAGCAGCGGTTTAAGAAGCGCTCCGACAAAGCTTTTCATCAGAGATTATCGTTTTAATCAGCATAACAAGTCACAGGGCCAATTAAAATCCCTCCCTGAAAATTCAGCTGCAACTACTCAGTGCGATGAATGTTATGAGTTAGCTGCCAAATGGCATGTAAAATAATCCTATTTCCCAAGGCATTTCTCAGTGGTAGGTAATCTTCTCTTTCACTCTCGCTGGCTTTGTGACTTTGATAAGGAATTACTATAGCAAATGAGAACCGCTCTTATCTTGTGTTTTCTCATAGTCGGGAGAGGCTTACGCCCCGCAAAGTGAAATTAGTTG